TCTCTCTCTCTCTCTCTCTCTCTCTCTCTCTCTCTATATATATATATATATATATATATATATATATATATATATATATTGCACTTCTTTGAAAGGTTTCACCATTTCCCGTCTCTCTCTCTCTTCTCTCTGTCTTTCTTTCTCTCTGAGTATATATTGCACTTCTTTAAAAGGTTTCACCATTTCCCCTATCTCTTTCTCTTCTCTCTGTCATAGTACATATTGTCACTTCTTTGAAAGGTTTCACCTCTCTCTGAGTTTATGTTATCACATCTTTGAAGGGGGTTCTGTTGGGTTCATGTGGCCTTTAAAAGCTTTATGAATGCTTGTAAAATGAAATGATATAGTGGAACATGAATTCAGTGGGAGTGTAGTCCATCGTAGGCCATATTAAGCAAACGATGTTTGCAGATACCAGACTGTGCTTGACGATATAGGTCAGTCGGTTGGGAAAAACCCATGGTACCTGGACTTAAAGAACAAATCGAGAAGGGTTCTAATGGGTTAGCTCTTGATGAGGTCGGAGAATATGCCCGGATGAGTGAGCCGAGGGACTGTATAACCATTGTGTGTGATGGTGGCCTACAGAGACGGGTGTTGTTTTCTATAACGAAATTTATTTTCATGACTTGGAAGTTAAGATTTAATTTCTATTCTTAACAGAATGTTTTATGGTTTACACTAACTTTTTAAACTTCCATTCTGAGTCTAATTTGTAATAAAATTTATTTGAGAGAGAAATATCTATGAAAAGAGATGAATAAATATTTTGGACTGAAGAGAGGTCATCCTGAATTTTCTATAATTTGGTATGTCCTTTATTGAAGACATGAATAGCTATATTTATCAAGCCTACTTAACATAGTGATATAGGGCTTGTGAAAATATATGTGTTACTATTATGTATTTAATTTCAAACAAAATTGGTTTGAAAGAGAACTCCATGATGGTAGAGAGAAAAGACAATTTTACTAGATAATGTTCATCCTGAAATTCTGTAGTATGATTTATTTTGTGACGTAAATGTCTCTTATTTATTTCTCTGAAGAAAAATACTATTTGGGATTCAAACTATGATGTTATGATTTGGTTTTAAGTCTAGTTTTCAACACAAAAGATTTCAAAAAGAATTTCTTTGAGGGTTGAGGGAGACAAATTTTTCATTGAGAGTTGCTCAACCTGATTTTCAACTGAAAAAATTACATTGTGACATAAATGTCACTAAAATGAATATTCACTAAATGGTATAATTTAGGGATGGAACTGAGCACTATTTAATATTTTTTTTAGTCTATTATAATACTCAAAAGAATTCAAATATTAACTCTTTATGAGTTGAGAGATATCATATCATTATCATGGGATGCTCAAGTTCTATTCTGCAGTAAATTAAAAAAATGTGGCATGTTAAGACGCATATTTGGATTCCTAATTATGAAGATCTTTTTTTAGGGCTCATTTAAAAAGGTTTTATAGTATGCTATGAGTATGGTTTATTATAATAAAACTTCAGAGAGAAGTAATACAGAGTTGACAAGATATGACACTCTATGTGAAGAGTATTTGATCTAGGAATAGCAGAAAGAAGAAGAAATACAATATCTATAAAAACATCTTGGTTTCTTCGAAATGAAGGGATATATAGAGAGACTTGGTGGTAGCAGAGAAATGCGAAAGATCAGTAGGAGAATCGAAATTGTGATATTTGAAATAATGGGATGAAGAAAATATTTTCTTCACAATGTAAGACAGGAGAATCCAAGTGCCGAAAAGATGGACACTTCGTGACATGTGAAACCAATGACCAATATATTCTCCGTCAGTTGCGTGTATTTCCAATATCACAAAAGCTTGTCAAATAAGTAAAAGCCATGAATCAAGAAAGCCCAAGTACCATACTACATGGTTTTGAGGTATGAAATCTATCCCACATTATATGAAAATGTCATATAGGGAAAGCTGATTCAATAACTTTGTTTAATGTGTTTTGGTTATATTTTGGCTAATTGTTTTATGAATATGTGTGGACATTAAGTGATAAGTGTTAACAAATTTGAAAGTGCCAATTTCAAATACCTTGTATTTTTGTGCCTCCTTGTACTTGAGTATGAACTACTTACATGGAGATGTGATTTAATCAAAGGCTTTGAGCCCCAAGGATGAAACACGAGAGATGGGTGCGGCTCATTCAAATATGTAAACACAAAGGGAATGTTCTGATAGAACTTGGTCTTGGTGACCATCCTCTCAACAATGCCTATAATATGATGTGGTGCATGTGATGATGATCTCTTGATAAATTCTTTATAATTGCCAAAAATGAAGTATTTTGTCAAGGCTTTAATAGACATTATTTAATCGTGCTTTATTTTGGATAAAATTATAAGATGGTACACATATGATTTGTTTTTATGGCCATGAACTTGACTTGGTAGGAAATTAAAAGTGAATGCGGTAGAATGATTTATGAAGGTTAAGCATGTATTTTATAATTAAATTGGATGATTTGATAAAAGCCTGAGTCCATGAATATGGTTTTGAAAAAACCACATAGTCTTGCAAGGTCTATTAAATCTTTATGAAAATCATTTTAAACTGTGATACTATTATATAACTATTGCTTGTGAATGCATATATATATATATACCAAGTCATTTTTTTTTATTAAAAAGATAAACATTCTGCCTTGAAGGTATTTATAAAAGTGGGAAAAAAACTGTCATGTACTGTTTTTTTAAAATACCTATACGCCTTAACCCATGTTTCTAATTATTTAGTATCTTCGATTACCTAAGACTTTGAACCATAGGGAATGTTGTAGGAATGCCATCATGTTGGGCTTTCCTAACACATATTGTGTTGATTAGATAACTTGGTTTGTATGAATTTGCTACCAAGATGTCTAGTGTAGTTGAATCTTTGTGGTTCATGAAGGTTTTGCATATTGTGAAATCAACGGGTAT